TTTTTTTTTTCATTTTTTTTTAACATTTATTTATTTTTGAGACAGAGAGAGACAGAGCTTGAATGGAGGAGGGTCAGAGAGAGAGGGAGACGCAGAATCTGAAACAGGCTCTGGGCTCTGAGCTGTCAGCACAGAGCCCGACGCGGGGCTCGAACTCACGGACCGCAAGATCATGACCTGAGCCGAAGCCGGATTCTTAACCCACTAAGCCACCCAGGCGCCCCAGACGTCCTTATTTCTTAAGCAGTTGGTGTCTTACTATAAAAAAAAAAAAAGGTGCAGCAAATCCAGGTCCAAAGTACATAGTCATCATAACAAGTAACCACCACTTGTTTTCCACTGAAAATGGCAAATTCTTCCCTGGGCCCTCCTCATAGTGGCTCCTACGGACCACAGAAGTGGTGAATCTCCGATGCTCTGTCCCAGCATAGCGCTGTTGGAAGTTCTGCGAAAAGCGCAGCACCCCCAGAGATAGAAACGACAGCACCAAACCAAGTCCTCCTCTTTTCACCACCTTGTTCCCTGGTGTGTCGGGTTCGTTCTTTCTGAAATTTTAGTGGAGGCTTTTTCTAACTGAGCCGTCTCTAAAAGAGAATATATTTAGATATGCATAGAATTAACTATGCCTGTGATCATTAAAATATTTTTTTCCTATGAAAACACACTTGTCATGAGTTGGTCCAGTTTGTCTCTGTTTAGAGTTTTTATTTTTATTTGTTTGCTTAGAGTTTTTAAATGCCTGAATTTACAAGCACAAGCAGCTTTGAAGCCACAGATTGACACGTGTATTGGGGTCTCTGTTCATTAAGGAAATGCTGTTTAATTGTGCCGGATGCCAACCATTTCAGTAATTACTAGCTTCTAGTCTGTTTAGGGTTTAAATAGACTTGGACTCTGCTTTAGTGAGCAGTTGCTCATTGAAATTAGCAATGTAATTTTAAAGCTTTTTCTTAAATACGAACATAAGCACAGTAACATTTCAGTTGGTGGTCTGAACTGAATGGATGGAGAGTTTTAATTTTTCAGGTGACTATCTAATCATTTAATCATTTGAATTTAAGAATTTTATGCTATAAAGTTTATAGCTGCTAAGGAAAAAGAGTCTTGAGTCCTGAGATGAAAAAGCACAGCCATGTGAAACTGTATTCTCTTATGAATTCTGAAAACTGTCAGACTGTATATTTAGGTCCTAATTTCATTAGCCCATCCTAGTTTAGAAGAATTTGAAGTGGTATTTTGTTTGTGTGTGGGAGAAATCTATCATGTCTTTGCAGTTCACTCCGAAGAGATAATAGGTACACAATTGCCTAGTTGAATATATTTTTGTTTCATATAGTTGGGCATTAGGATGAGCTTTAAAGAAGCATTTTTTTCTACTTAGATTAAAATAAGGACTATATAATTTATGAAAGGATTCTTTTAGCTAAAAGAAACCATTTAAAACGAGAAAATAGAGGAAATGTAGACTGCCAAATAATGCAAGAATAGAGCCTGAAAATTTAGATATACCCCTCATCCTGAAAGCCCTCTTAGGTCAAAGACAAATATTTCAGATGTCTTTCAAACAAGATCTCAAGCTCTTAAACTTCAGGATTTCAAGTGCTTACAAATTTAGAGTAATATCTCAGTGGGAAAACAATGTATACTAATAACCCAGTAGAAAAATAGTGTAAATAGACAGTACACAGAACACGAAATACAAGGAACTCCATCTCCTAAGAATATGCAAATGTGAAAAACACACTAAGATGCCATTTTTCACCTATTACAATGCAAAGTTTAAAAATTACACAACTTACTGAAGACCTGAAGAAACCTATAGCTTGCTGATGGAAGAATAAATCAGTACAATCTTATGGAGGGCAACTTGGTAATATTTAACAAAATTTTAATGTTTATCTTTTGACTCTTGAAATTCAATTTTGGGGAAGCTTTCTACAGATATATTTATTCCTGAATGTGAAAGATCATTTATGCCAAGGGTATTAATTTTAACATTATGCTAACAAAAGATGGGAAAGGATGGAAATGTCCTTAGTAGATTTTGATACATTATGTTACAGTCATGTAGTAGAATACTTATTCAGTCATAAAACAGGTTAAGGAAGCTCTGTGTAGGAGTAGGAGAGAGGTTCCAGACGTGTAGTGTTGGGATGGCAAACTTCTTAAAGGGCCAGCTAGTAAATATTTTAGGCTTTTCTCTGTTGTTGGGGGACACAGCCACAGACCATATGTCTATGTGTATGACTGTGTTGCAATGAAGTCTTATTTACAGAAACAGGTGACTGGTCTGTGGGGCATAGAAGAACTTGGAATATAAACTGTAACAGAGGTATGAAGTGCTGAGAGCACTGGGTAGTGAGTTCAAGCTTTGCCTGGGATATTTGGGAACGACTTCATAGATGAATGAGGTAGGTGATCATTTAAACTGAGTTTCTGTGGGTGTGTCGAAGCTCTGAAGATTAAGGTGAGGAGGAGGTGTTTTCTGGAATTGGTGAGGAGTTGTTTGATACGTGGAGTTCTGTGTTGAGAGTGGATGAAGAGGTAAACTGGGATCATATTTTTGAAGGAGTAGACACTAATGTGGTTTCTAACCCATTTTCTACTTCGAATAAAAAATATTTGAATGCCTACCTCTGTTAGACCTTTAAATTTTGCCATATTTACTTCAGGGCTTTTTTTTTTTTTAATTTGCGTGGGTTTTTTGGCATATATTTTGTAAAAGAAACATTATAGACACAGTTGAAACCGTGCCCTGCAAACCATGCTGAGTATATATTCTTATCTCTTTCCAGAGATAATAGCTAATATGAATTTGTTACTCTAGCCTTCCGACATTAACTACATGTTCATATACCTTTATACACAATATATTTTATTGTTCTTTACATTGTAAAAGTTCAAAGAATGGTTTGTGGTGTCATTTCACAATTGGCTTTTGCTCAAAATTGTGTTTTTGCTATTTCTGTGTGTGGATCAGCCCTGGTCAATAGAAATAAAATGCAAGCTGTATATGTTATTTTAACTTCTGTAATAGCCACATAAAAAGTCACAGGTGAAATTAATAATATACTTTAATAGCCCAGTGTATCTGAAATATTATTTCAGCATATAATCAGTATGTGAGATTATTAATGAGGTATTTTACATTCCTTTTTTATACTAGATCTTTGAAATCTGGCATCTGTTTCACACTTGCAACACCTCTCAACTTGGACTAGCCACGTTTTAAGTGTTCAGTAGTCGCAAGTGGTTAGTGGCTTTTACTGTATTGAACAGAGAACTGCTACAGTTCAAGCAGGACGGAACACTTCCAAGTGCTTGAAAGTTGCGCGCGCTCCTGACCTCCAGGGGTCATGTTGACCCAAGAGAAAGTCTTTTGTGTTTTGGAACTTGCTAATCCTGCAGCCGCAGCACAGAAAACATTCTGTGTGCAATAAAGGAAACCTCTCTCAAGAAGAGCAATTACTGCTGCTGATGGTTGGAGCACGGAGCGCGGGACAGGCACGATGCACGGCCTCTGTAGACACGCAGGGGCCCCTGCCCTGTCCTTACAGGAGTACGCTCTTCATTCTTGCTTGTCTGGGGTAAACTGCTGAAACTTTTCCTGCTCTTCTCAGGGGTGCCACATTGGTAGCAAACATACTGCTTCTCCATAGTCGGACCTTAGTAAGTAGGTAGACCTGTTAGCTTACATTTCTTTGCAAAGAATCTCCAGCAGCATCATTTGATTATTGAGCCCCATGTAATATGCCTCTATGCCTGTTTTCTAAGTTTTAGCCAAGGTTAAAGTCACCTCACCCCAAAGTCTGTATGTAGACTTCTAGTTCTCTTATTTTCCGCAGAAATATCTTCATTGAAATGCTGTAGAGTTGACCTGGAGTCCTAGCGGAAACTGCCTTTTAGCATGTTTTAGTTTCATACACATTAAATTAGAGACACTTTCCATCATGCTGTTAGTATCCCTCATATAATAACCCAATGAAAAACAAATCTAGCTAAGGACAAAAATTTAGGGAAAAATTCTCACCATGTCATTCATTCATTGCTTGATTTTTGACTGTTTTTTCAATTCTGTGGCATTTATTTTAATGTGTCTTTTATATACCCACGGAAATATATATTATATAATAGATAGATCTATCATGATCTCTGCTCTTAGTGTGGGGCCTTGATATAGTCTGCATTGCACAGCTTGATAGCTTTTTAGTAGTTTTATATGGTACTTTCTGCCACAAGGTGGGGGTAGAGAGTTCTATAGGCCTTTTTATGTAAGGAGAATTTGGTCATAAAGTTTAGCTTTCCATAACTTAACAAAATAATTGTCCGGCACCATTGTTAACACAACTGCCCCTTAGGGTTAGCAGGATTTCTAATTTCTTCATGGTAATATTTTACTCAGCTCATCAGCCATTCAGAAATTATTAGTGATTATTTTTATAACAGTTTAAATACTCTATGAATTTACTTCCATATCATTTACTTTTTGTTGCATTACTTTGCTTTTTTTTTTTT